TTACTTATCAAACACCCTGTATAAAAAGAATAGGTAAGATTTATAAATAAAAATATTCACAAATATATTATAGAAGTTCTTTTCATAAAGCAAGATAAAAACGCAAGAAAAATATTTCACAAATTTAGCAATAATATGTTTCTTGGGATTAAATAATATTTTCATTCGTTCAAAACGTTCAAATAATTATAGCAAATAAAGAATTCATATAAACAGGATAAAAAAGGATTAGTACTCACAGAATAGGATTACGGGAACACTTATCGATGCAATTTTATCCAATGGGCATCTTTCAAAACATTCTCGTTTATTTATAAAGTCCGTCGTTCTCCTCTGGCCATTGCCTTTCTTCGATGGCAGCAGCTCTTCTTATATTTTACAGTACTTACAAAATGAAGTGTAGGTCGGCCGCGAAAATTTATGTTGCCAAAAAAACTGTACACAGGAGTTTCTTCTAGATCATAAGCTTCATCTTCGTGGAAGTAATGGTCGGATAGAAGCACGGTTTTAAAGGTATCTTCAAAGTGTACAACGCTTAAGAAATAAAACGTCGCAAAATCGACTGAACAAAGTACGTCGAATTTTTTGGTATGCCGTGCGACTAATTTGTGCACGTATCAGCTATAACAAGGCACAAGTATACACGCGAACTGGCATTCAATAAGTAAGCTAAGTTCTTGTCCTCCAGTCTTAATTTTCATTTATAATTCTCTAGGGAAGAATTCCATTTCGAGGAACGAAATGACCGTTGCTTCGGAATCGAGAAATTGAATTAGAGTTCAATAAGTTAGAAGAAAATTTCGAGCTTAGCGTGCAGTTAATATTATTTTGTCATCTGCGCCGCTTTCTTCGCCTTCACAAGCTCAACCAGTTCCTGCAATAAAGACAAACAAGCATAGCATTACAGCTCAATTCATTATTCTTATAGTTATATATTTGATAATACATACTTAATTCTCAATATTATTTAATTATTTCAAACATCGCGTTTTATCTTTCTTCCTTTCATTTTATAAGAAAAATTTTATGCAAGCATAACAATGTTTAATTTGATATCTAGTATATAAAACTCAAGATTATATATTTGCATTATCTGACTGTAATAATATAGATATATAAGTTTTTTTTTAAGCCTACCTTATATCTTTTCATACATTCCTTTTTCGTTCTAGTGGGTATACACGCTGCGATTTGATCCCATCTGTCTGAAACCGTTGTTGGATAGGTTTTCAGTGCTTGTTCCAAGAGTTTTTGTTCACCCGGTGTCCAGGGTGCCAATTCTTTTTTCATCTCTTTGGATTCTACAGCAACACCATTCGCAATTGGATGGTCTAGACGCTCCGTAACAGCTGGCATTCTTTCTTCAATAGCTTCCTTGCTCTTTTTCTCAGCAATGAAATTGTCGAAAGCTTTCTTATTCGCCTGTTCTTTTAAACTCGATTTGCTAAAGTCAGTTGATTGTAGACTTTTGGCCTTTGCCAGAACTTCCTTGGCATCGCGTGTAACTCCACTGGTGGAAGTGCTGTGTTGGTTAATGAAATTTGCTACCACCTCCCAACGTTGATTAGTACCAGCAGGAAATAGATTAACTGCTTTTATTAAAAGTTGCAAGTCATTCTCGCTCCAGGGTGCAGTACAAGTTTTGGTCTGCTTATCAGGCGTATTTCTCGCATCGTTATTGATGACATTTACACGGCGTTCTGTTTCGATTATTCGTTCAGCCTCTTCAACGATGCTTAAAAACGCGGCTCTGCCGTTAGTCTGAAGATTCTTCATCGCCTCTTCCAGCTGCATAAGCTTGAACAGTTCACAGATCTTCTCTACGCTTTCCATATGTCGGAGACTCTCTTCCGAACTTTTCGCAAAATAATCGTTTGCTTTGCAAAAATCTCTAAACGCCTTCCTTTCTTTGCGTAACGCCTTCTTTTGTACTTCTCGCTCCTGCTTCAGCGCATCTTGCTTTGCCCTTTCTTCGGATTCTCTTTTTTCTTTCTCTAATCTTTCTTTCTCTGCCGCATCCCGTGCTATTCTCTTTTCTTCTTGTTGCCTAGCCTTTGCTGCCTCCTGCTTTGCTCTCTTCACAGCATTCTTCTTATCCTTATCCTCTTGCTGGAACTTCTTTATCCTAGGATCTATGTTGTAAGCCATATCCACTAAAGTGCGTATTCGCATCATCTCTTCTTTTTTCCGTTTTGCTCTTGTAGCTTTGTTCTTCTTCTCGATCCATTTCCGCATGTCTCGGCTGCAATTAATTTTGTTTGTCAAACAATTTTCCTGTTTTACAATTTTCCTCGAGAAAATCTTGTGATTCGTCGTACTTACTCTTGACCACTCTCCTTGTCTTCCTCATCAAGATACGAATACTCGCGCCAGGAATCGAAGTCGTACCAGAACGAGTAGAACTGTTCTACCTTCTCTCGTGACATGAATGGGCCACCCAATCGTGGCACGGGCTTTTTCATAGACCATCGTGAATTCTCTTTGAAAGCTTTACCCAACACCTCGTAAAAATTGTTCCGACAGTCCTTCTCATCTGGAAGATTGTCATTAAAATAAGGATCAACGCTATCGTAGCTTCGTCTCTTAATTTGACTCCCTAGGGTTTCCCAAGCACGAGTTATACATGTGAAGTAGTCATCGTCTGGTCGGATTTCCTCGCCCATTGCTTTGCGCTTATCAGGATGATGCTTTAATATTTTCAGCTTGTCTGTAATATATGTATTAGATATATCCAATCAATTGTCAATTTCAAATCACAATTAGAGTCACAAAAAATGTAAGCAGTAATAAATCAAACATGTTAATTTCCTTATTGTCTTACTGCTTAAATTTTTTTGTGCTATGACTCTTAGATTAATATTACATATGTTGTATGAAGTCTGATAATTGACAGGACAGAGAGGTTCTTCGATCTTTCTATCCTGTAGCCAACAGGCTTGAGAAATTTGTCATATGACAAATTTAGTATCAGCTTTATGTTTACATTCCCCTATAAAGCATTCTTTACATACAAGCTCTTTTGATAATATCTTCAGTCGCTCGATGTCTAAGATCTTTTATGCCTAGAACAGCATAATGGTCCTGATCCTTCCAGTCTCTTGGATCCAATGACCTGAGGTATTCAAGATCATCCTCAAATTGATACTGAGACAGATCTTCCTCTTCATCTGATGATTCCGACACACTGCCTCGTGTAAGACTGCGATGGAATTGGGTTCGCCATGCCAGTGCAGTTGAATATAAAACTACTGGACCCGCTGTACTGGTATTGGTTTTGCCTGGATCTGTAATAAATTGGTTTCAAGACTTATTTTGAACAAAAAGCTATAAAAAAATTGATGAAATAACATGAATTAGATGTGAACAAGATCACAGATAGATTGTCAAATGCAAAATTAGGATTATATGATATAAATTCAAATAATTATAAGTGACCACCTCAACAAAATTGTGTGAACTTTGCGTGAATCTGTTTCACCGTAATAAGAGACAAATCGAGCTAATTGATCGATTCTTAAAGATCTAAAAATTCATTGAAATGCGCGAGGTCATCCAAAAACCCCGCTGTTTCTTGACACTTCTAATCAATCATAACCTCAAAAGACCGGTATCGTGCGGCGAAGGATAGACAGCTTACCGGATATGGAATCGAACGCTGCGGAGTCCTCGTTCCCGGTGCCGTCTGTCATCGTCGTACGATTTTCGTGATGAGTCGGTTGAGTTAATCTTAAAACCGCACACGGGACACGCGGAAGGGCTTGTCCTGTCGATCACGTTATGTAGAGATATGCATTCCGAAATCCAAATAAATCTGAAAAATTCGAAACGACCCGAACTGGCGAATGTCTACAACCAGTACAACCTGCAACTTTCGAGCAATTCGGCAAACTTTCGAGAATTTCGAGTCTCTCGAATAATCTCTCGAGAGTCTCGAATACGAATTAACACGAACCTGCACGAACTATGGCATGAACTACGATTCACTAGAGTCCTATATATAGAGACCTGACATTGATTGCCGAGTTTCTGATTGGCAGTCTGATATGTATTCTGATTCGATATCTCCTAAGTGAAGCAACCATATTGGCTGCGTTTAGCGGACTCAACAATTAAATGAGCACTCGTTATTATTGGTAAATTCTTTTAGATCATCTAATCAGCATTTTAGATTTGGAAGAATATATCAATGGCCCAGTTTCCATCGAGGATTTAAACCGAATCAGAATGTAAGAACCAACCAACTACAGTCAAGTATTCCGCTGTTATAATCAAACGACAGAGAAATGCTCACTATAGTTGGTTGGTTCTTACATTCTGATTCAGTTTAAACCCTCGGTGAAAAGACCAATAGCAGCGAGCGCTCATTCAACTGTTGAGTACACTGAACGCAGCCATTCGTTTTATGAATGAATGCGTTCAGCAGAACACAACAGTTTTGCAATCGTTTTATGATTCTCTGCTGAGATAGGACTATCTTCTTCTTGATCTAAAAGCATAATTCAATCAGCGCGAAAAAACTTCCAACAGTTGCAAAATAAATGTTCTGCTGAAGGTAGCCATTGTGATCATTGTGATCACTCTATTCTTGAAAAATATTGGCTTCTGCACACAGAACGCGACAACGTTTGCCACACGATGAAAATTGGTGCAATAGCCGATTAACATCTCGCTTGCGACGCGTTTCACTGTTCCATAATCGCAATAAAAATTCAAAATTCAAATGCAACGACTATCTCCTATAAAATTGCAATTATTTTACAAAGAAAAGCAATAACTTCAATAAATATTAGAAACGATTGAAATGCCATAAATAAATTACATCAATTAATTAACATAAGATTTTTCTATCATGGAAATTTAATATCAAAACAATGAAATATATGCGAATGGAGGTATAAAATTCGAAATTCATTTATTATTTGTTAATTATAAATATTCTCTTTTTCTCTCTCTCAAAATCACATAATAATAAACATTTGGAATTCATTATGCGACATATGTACCACATCGAACATTCATATATTATCTTTATTCAATGCTTGCAATTAAACAGTGCTTTAATTAACAAGGCATGATTCGATTTATTGTGAGTGTATACATGTACACGATGGAAGGCACGTGTTTTCCTGTATTTATCTCGCGAAGTTCCACATCTTAGAACTTTTACTCACCTTATAAAATGTTTTTAGATATAGATAACTTATAATTACAGACTTCTATATTTAGATTGCTGATTCCTATGTAATAAAAAGAAATGAATCTAATTCTGAGTTTATCCTTAATTTAGTTCACATATGCACATGTGTTATTATTTGTATGATTTATATGTGAGAGTACATGTACTTTGAATATTGGGCTGTCAAGTTATCTTCAAACATGGCGGCGAATTGACAGTCTAAATATAGAAATCTCTGGCTGGATTCGAGGAGACGCTATTAGCGCTATTTGTGTCATTTCATCTTCATCGTCCATTAAACGTGAAAGGATAGTATGACACAAATAGCGTTGATAGCGCGCTCCCCGAACGCAGCCTACTTATAACAGATAATAATAAAAAAAGAGATACAGTCGTGTTCGCTACGTTTCCTTACAAATGTCAATTGGACGGAAATCTCAATAGCGAACGAGACAAACTTCGATAGTTTTGTTTACTGGGAAGACAGGGGATTATACGAAATGTAAATTATTTTTAACTGGCATCATCCCACACCCTATTCTTTGTTCGTATTGATAATAAATATAATAGCTTCTGATAATAAGGGAATTACTATTTACTTATTATCACACACTTGGTTGTCCTACGATTATATTCTCGCGGGACTCATAAATAAATACAGGAAATAAATTTCGCAACGCTGCTACAAGAACGTTATCTTTTTCTTCAAGTTATAATGCATAAAAGAAAATAAATTAGAACATAGAACAATGTTAATAACAAATAGCCACTTGCGACTTATCAGTCATGTCTAGTAAATGTATCACTAAGAAATTAAAAGGGAATGGTACCCAAGTGGAGATAGAAAAAGCTTCATCACGAATTATCGATTTACTGATTTCCAGGAGATGATAATCGCCTCTGATATGGATTTTGAAGTAATCGCGGAGAACATTCGATCACACGCAACAGCAACGCATCAATATAATCCTCCAGATCGGTAAGTCTCTTGTTCTTCTCCGTGACTTGCGTCTGCAGTTGCAATGCCAGTTCTATTAGATCCTGCAAGTAAAATGCTTTGTTCGAAATAAAATATTTAATTAATATAATAAATAAATTAATATAATAAATAAAATAATTGTTTTACAATAAAAAACTTGTTTCATAAAAAAAAAGACGATTACACATTCCTCTTTAATAAAAAAACTAATAAGAGATTAAATTTAAACAAAAAAATTAAATAAAGAAAACATTTTTACACTTCGATATTTACTTCTCTCGATTTTCCTTCAAATTGGTTAAGGACCTCGTGCGGCAGGCGACTTTTAAAATTTGTAGCGTTCTGAACGGCATCTTCGCCGCCGATAATAATCCTTTCGGAAGACAGATGATTCTCATCATTAATGTCTTTGAATTTGCTCTCCTTGTCTTTTTTCTTGTCTTTCTTCATATATTTTTCCTCTTTGAGATTTCGTAGATCACATTTCTCATCCCTCTTATCCTTCGGTTTATCTTCCTTCACAAATTTCTCTTTGTTTGCAGTGAGTTTTTCCTTGCTTGCAGTGAGTTTTTCATCTTTGTTCTTTGAATAAAGAATTTCCCTCGGCGCGGGACTGGGAGGTTCCGGAAGATCTTTCAACCTCGATGTAATCGGTGATGTCGAACGAATAGGCGATACATCGCGTTTGTTATCTTTCGGTTCGTCCACCACAATCTTAGGTTTGCTGTCCCATCTTACGAGTACAACATGCAACATTATTTATCATGCTCATAAATTTTACTTAATAAATCTATTTATAGAAAATAAATTGTTAAAAGAAAGGCTACGAATCCAAGCTAGTTGTTAATTGCTAATTAAAATTAACTTATATTCCAAATCCGATCACTATAATCACTATGTAATTTAAAATATAAACATTTCAACCTTCATTATGTCATCTTCAGTGTAACTCGTAAAAATTACAATCTATTTGTTATATATATTTTTATCACTGTTATAATAATTTTAATTTTGTTAAATATTTATTAGATTAAAATGAGTTATGGTGAGTTTTTTTTCTAATCTTTGTATATTTTTCCTATTTTCCTGTTGAAAATAAATATCTTCAAACATTTCACCTTTTAGGCACGCTGCTCGCCTGCTTGCCATAGAGTTTTAAACCCCATTCGTCATCCTTCGTTAAATTATCGACCTTTGACAGATTGGTTGTGGACGCACTCATAGCAAACCGTGGTGGTTTGCTCGGAGCGGCGTTAATTGGCACCGGTGGCGTGTGCACTTCGCTGAAGACATTGCTCTGCGAGCCATTCGAAATGCCATTAGCATTACCGCCGTTAACACCCGGATGCACGGGTGCATTCAGCGATGAGGCCGAACTTTTGTGGGATAAATCATCGAACTATAACAGATAAAAAAATAACTAAAATTATATCCAGAGTCTGTTGAACAGATTTATTTTCAGTACTCGTCCAATTCGTTACGTTTATACATATATATACATCTTCAATACATGTATGTGTATTATATTTACCAAATCAAAAATATAATAAAATCTTCCTTTCACTCTTCATTAACGATATCGCTAGTGTATAACGGTACCATTTACTTTTACTTACTGTGAATTCATCTTCATCCTCACTAATAACTCCAGGATCAGCTTCACCTGGTTCTTGTCGCGTGATTTTGATCTCATGTTCCTCCTTCTCGTTCAGATTGTTTCCATCGAGCCGATTCTTACTCTTGCCTTTGACTTTGTTTCCAATTGATTTGGCTAATTTCTTTAGGCCTTTGCGTTTTTCAAGACTGCCGATACTGAGCAAACTACCGCCGATTGTCTGTGCAGCTGTGGACAATTGTCCCAAGGAGCTTTTGTGACGCTCCTTTTTACTTAGGTCGGTCAGACTTCCAGCTTTTACGATAAAGCCAATCCTCACTTCGAGTTCGCCTCTCTCCTTCGTGTTCTCTTTGCCTGGTTTACTGTTAAGAGTGTACCTAATACAAGCGGATTTATTCACAAATTGAGAACAGATAAAATGTGCAGATAATATGTCTTACAAAGCAAATTTTAAATCTTAATAAATCCAATAATTGAAATCTTTTTATTTGTTAACAATAAAAAAAATTACAAATCTTTTGGCGAACAACGAATAGCATAAAGATAAATATTATACAAAATGTAAACTCTACTATATAGAGTGTTTGGAAATTAGTGATAAGTCTTCCTACAGGGGCAGAATGAACTAAATTGAGAAGAAAAGTTTTCTAAATTGAGAAGAAAAGTTTTCTAAATTGTTTATTTTCTTCTCATAGAGCTCTATGCATTTTTTCAGAATTTTTTATTAACTTTTTAGCACTGCATTTTCTCATTTTTACTAACATGAGACAATACGGTATTAAAAAATTCTAAAAAAATTCTTAGAGTTCTATGAGAAGAAAGTAAACAATTTTCGTCTCTTGCAGTTTTTCTGTAAAGTTGATAGTAATTCTGAGTAAAAAATTATTGAAGACCAATTTTTGACAATTTTAATATCTTGTTAACTATTATCGAAAATTGCAAAATAGTAGAGGACTTTTCTTCTCAGTTTAATCCATTCTGCCCCTGTGCGATAGACTTATCACTAATTTCCAAACACCCTATATATTAAAAGAAAAAAATTCAATATATATTTGATCATATCAAAAACTTATTGCCACATAAATCGAATGATCGATTATAGCATCACGCTATAAGAATGTCAAAAGGAATGCGAGTGATTAATGAGATAAGATGATACGCAACGAGTATCTCTTTTCCGAGTTATTTTTCTGTGGGCGGGAGGTGGGAGAGATTTGCAATGAAACGCAATTTACAATTAACGTTATCGCAAACACACCATCGATTCCTGGGCCTCTCGTATACGTCGAAGCTGGAAAGTGGTATATTGACAATGCCAAGAAATTCATCGACACCCAGGAAGTTGCGATGTAGAGCGGTGAGGACGATTTCCGCAGTATTTCCTTGCTCTGGAATCAACAGCTCGCATTCCTCGTGCCAGTCCACGTCCTTGGTAGCCTTTTCTTTCACCGACGTCTGGTACTTTTCCTTGCCGAGTGTGATTGTAACGAAGCAATCGTTGGTCTCTGCATACGTACATTCACAATTTGTGGTGTTGCTTTGTGACGTGGGCGAGGATCGGTGTTGACCGGGAGCGAGGTCAGGAGATTAATGAGATGTATGTAACGGGAATTAAAGATCTCACTTGGTAAGAAAATATGTCTGGTCTCGATCTGTAGAATTGCCGTCTTCAGAGATTGCTTATTTAATATTCATATTAAAAAAAGAGAAAATTCGGTTCCGATTTCGGTTTAATTTTAACTGAAGAAAGCGTTACCTGGTTGCGCACATTTATTAGATGCGTATTAATACAATTAAATTAATTTAAGTATAAATAGAAATCAGAGTTGGAAAGTGCTACTTTTTCCGTTACTTTTTCGTTATTTTTTATAATAAGCAATTTGATACTGACGTTGCAATTTTTTATAACTAAACGTTAAAATTGTGCTAAAATTGGAAAAGTCGACTTTTCTAATCTTGGCACAACTTTAGTATTTAGTTATAAAAAATTGCAACGTCATTTATTAAAAAGTATTATTAAAAAGTAACGGAAAAAGTAACGCTTCCCAATTCTGTAGAAATTGATGTAATAGAATTGAAATAATTCAATTCTATTTTTCATGCAGGTAATGAAATGTTATTTAATCCGACAACATATAACGCGCTTCTAATTTATATATCTTTCCACAGACTCTATCATTAACCATAATGTATGTTCTTTCGTTAGCAGCATTGCATTTGCTTATTTTACATTACGATTAATAAAAGCAATAATGTCACAATGTGTGTATAGCGGACGAGCATTGGAAGTCATTAACTCGTCGCGCAATTATACTGATTATTAGGTCGAGAAGATACCTTACATGCTCACGTTATATTGGTTGCAGTTGGATTATTAACTTGTAAATAAAGTCCTAACATTTCTAAACACTTTGTAAAATTCCTATGCTAATTTTCTTCAAAGCGACAAAATTTAATGATAAACTTTATGATTTGTATTTATTTCATTATAACTTATAAACTTTCTAAATTTTTTTTTGTATTCTCCGAGTTCATGAATGCGACGCATCTTAATTTTATAAAAATTCTTCTCAGAAAACTTGACATATTTATTTTCAGCAGAACGTCGATTTCTTAATGCGTAAAATATAAAAATTTGTGATGGATCACATTACTTTAATTTTGCTGAGAAATAACGATATACACATATATTTCGCCTTGAGATTTGAATTTGATTAATATGGCAACATACGAAAATTTGTGCGTATTGTTTTGCAAACTCAAATTACCTTGCCAGCGAAAACCGGATGATTCATGACCTAAAATAGCCGCGGAATACGAGGTCACTCAGTATTGGCGCAAACACATGAATAACGTGTAGATAAGTAAGAAATGTGATGATGCATGCATCAATGAGAGAAAACGGATGACAGCTGAATTATTTAGAGATTTTAAGATATTGTGTTCAAGATGCTTTAGGCATCAGGAGATTAAAGGCTTTTTATAATTTATCTAATTTTCATATATTTAAATGATCATTTTTAAATAATAATATATTTAATGCGCGCATATCTTGTTACATATATTTAATAAATTCTCATAAATAAAAAGCTCATCAAAATGAGTAAACATTTTCAAATGTATTAAATTATAATAATACATAAAATCATATACTCACTGTGTTTTCCTTTAGTTAGTAAATCCTTGGCCCTCTGAACTGTGAACAAATGAAAATGAAATGTCTAATAATAAACGCAGAAACGCAGAATACGTACCGAATAATATTAAATGATATGTTTATGCGTACTATAATTTATGTTATTTTTAATACATGTTAAAATACAAAATAAATTGCCAATTAGATAAAATTTTATATAAATTAATCTTTCAATTTGAGTTTTTAATATTAACAATATATTCATAAATAAATAATATATTCATAAATAAATCATAAATAAGCAGATATGACGTGCAAAAATACTGCATCGATCGTTTTATATCGCGTGCTTGTATTTAAATATTAATGTCGTAAAATGGAGGCAATAAGTCATTGTGAAAACAGAGATTTCTTCAACAGCTCTCGCGTACATCTACTTTTTTTTTTCAATCGACTTTCCATGACCCGTGGGCACGAGAAAATCTCGTTACATGGCTTTCGTGCATAATCGCTCTCGCTTATATCAGAGTAAAAATGTTGCACATATCATACATGTATCAGTTACCACGTTACCGCCCCTTTCGTAATTCTGAGAAATCAATTATTATTTTATGATCTTCATTTCTTATATCGTTGTTTATTTCTTCAATATTAGCGCCATAATTTATAAAGATAAAAAGTATCAATTTAAATATAACAAATAGTAAACATTTTATATTTGTATATAAACAATATTTTTAAATAGCTCGTAACAAATGACGTAATATATGTATGTAATAAAATAAGTAGTGTTCAATTTTTAGATCCTGTTTTAGATTCTAGTATCTCCATTTTAGATCTCTTTAACGATGAATAATATATAAGTTATGACATCGAAAATAAAATGTGAAACAAATTAAGAATTCTGTAATAAGCGATCGAATTTTATATAATATGATTTAATTATGCACGCTAAATATGAAAATGGTGCATCGTGACGCTTTGAAGTTTGTAATTAAGCCCTCATGTAACTTCTGCGAAACTTTGACCGAAGAATTTAAACAATAAAATCACACGATTACAACATTCTCAGACATTTTCCGACAATTTCACCACATTACAAACGAAGGTCATCCCTTCTAGCAGAAAACTTTTTCTTTTGTATTTAATCGAGATATAAAAAAAGAAAATATATATTATATGCGCTAAAAAGATTAAGATGATAAGGAATTGAAGAAAGTTGAAAAGATATTTTACTTGTTTGCTTTTTCGATATTTCGAATGAAATATAAATCAGTAATTTTTCAGTATGTATTTCAATATGTATTGAATTATTAAATCATGATACTGGCCTTTGCAAATGCATCATTGCGGAACTTGAAATCTGAATTTACATAATCCACAAGATTTCATAAAAGATTTCATAAAAGATTTCATAAAATGATTACGAAATAAATGCGTGCGATAAAAAAGAAAGGAAAGAATTGCACTTTGTCTCTCTTCGAACTGTAATCCGTTAGCTTGTAACACGAAGCGTTACCGAATAACTGTCGGAGGCACTTCCTCGTTCTCACACGCGCAATGGCGATGAACCGTAATAGACGTATGAAGTACGAGGAAGTAACATATTCTCCGATTTCTCGTGCATCGAAAGAGAAGAGCCAGGAGAACTGACTCTTCCATTGCCTCGTTCACGGATTAGAGTCGAGATTGAACTCGTCACGACGAAGACGAAGACGCAGACAAATACCGTTTAGTCTGATAGAAGCATTTTTCAACGCTTCGTGCGTTGAAAAACGTCTCGTGGTCGAATTGCGATGATTCGACGACACGCAATTACATTTCTTGACTGATCCGAAGGATTTTCTAGATCTTTCAAGTCTATCGCGAATTTTTTTCAAGGAATTTTGTATTACATAAATATTTGTACTAAAAAAAAAATTTTTTTACTAAATTAATTTGTCTTTATTTGATTAAATTAAATTGTCTTTATTTATTTCATTGGAGAATATATGTGAGGAGCAGACTTTCAAAATGCGTTTTGTTCAAAATTTCGTTTTTTTAGTTAGAGATAGCGTAGTCATTCAGTATTGACTTGTAAGCTACTTTGAGATGTTTAGAAAGCATTTTTTCATCATTAATTTATATGCTGAAAAAACATAATCATTTCGAAGTGTATTATGTTTTTTTTAACTAGAAACAAACAAAATACATTTATTTAACATTTTTATTTTGTTAAGCAATTTTGTTTAATATTTCACATCCTATTGATTGACATGTTTTATAAAGTGATTGATATTTTCTATAAAGTGCGTAGATTTCTTGTGCGTAATTTCTTTCTGTCTTTTTCGTTTTCTGAAAATTATAAATTTTGAACAAAACGCATTTTGAAAGTCCTCCTCATGCATTTAAATCAAATAGATATAATATGTTTGATTTAAATACATTCTTCATCAAAAGAAATAAAGACAAACTAAATTAATTTAGTCAAACATTTTTTTTTCTCAGTGTCAATTCTGTAAATTCTGTCAAAATGTTTTATAGATAAACAAATAATAATAATCGGAATTGAATGAACATAAGATTCAAAGATTTTTATTGTTTAGGTATCCGGTTTAGTTGTGAAATACTTTAAGTAAAGGAAAAAGGAGAGTAACTGCTAAAATCGAATAACTGCTAAATATACTTTCACGCGTTGCCTGTTTTGTGCACCAAGATATACGAAAGAATCGGAAATTTATCATTCGAAGAAATCGCGAGACGAGGAAACTCATAATTGTATGCATACGATGTATAGCACAAGAATCATTTTCTCTGTTACAATTTTATAGTCCACATGTTATTGAAAACGATAAATAAGAACTTGTTCAACAATTGTGATTTGTGCATGCCTTTATATAATAATTTTAACATTTATTTTGACATTTATTTAAACATTTATTTTAATTCGTGAGAGAATATTATCTCTGAATCAGGAATCCTGAGGAAACTTTCCAGATTCGCACCTGGTGTAGGTCACCGTTTTGAATATAGATATCTGGCTTTCCTTCCCCCCGTACATGTGTCCGTTGCAACAGAAATTCTTGGCCACGATACTCTCGATACTTTGACACCTGCCAATGTCCGAAGGTAAAAGTTAGCGCGCGCTAATTAAGGAGACAAGAACTCTAAAACGCGAGCATGCTTTCGCGAATTAAGCCGCATTCTCAGTAACAGGGTTCTTATCTTATGATCGATTCGTGTGGTGAACGGTGTAATCCAATTAAAAACTTCATAAACTGTATACTAAATGTTGTAAGATTATAATAAATTAGTGGAAATTAAATTATCGTAAAAGAATCAAGAGGAAAGATAACAATTAGAACAAGGAGAAAGGAGATTAAATTTAGATTATCAGAGAAGATATACGTGTGTTTTAAAAATCAGCTGATGAGTAATATCAATAATAGTAATACATAAAGTGAGTCATTGGATATGTTATGATCAAGAAATATCGAGCAAATGCTCGCCATTCGAAATTTCGGTATGTAAATTTTAACACGATAAATTCTATCACGTAAAATAAAACAATATCAGTCAGGTGTTATAATTTACAATAGAATATTTCCACGAGCTAACGTTTATTTGCAACACAACGATGCAGTCGCATGATTGCATCGTGTTTAATTGCTATTGAAATTAATTGAAATTATTATTAGAAATCGTTACAAATCATGCAAAAAATTATGATTCTTTTATGATAATCTTAAAAAGTCAAGGAAATAAGAAAAAGAAAAATAAAGAAGATAAATAATAATATAATTCTTCAATTAATTTGTCTCCAGAGATAACATTATTTCACAAATTATCAAGTGACAAATTATTTTAACATGTTTTTTATAAAGTGCTCTTTTGCGTCATTAAGGAACTCAATATTTAAATATTATTTGAAGCCAACTTTAGAAAATTTATCATTTTGATCTATAATTCTATACAATTTCCATTTTAAAATCGATAATTTTATTTTTTCTGAAAAAGCGTACAGAACGCTTAGAAATTTACTATAATTTTGTACGTCTTTAGTACATAATTGTTTCTTTCTAGAATTCGCTTTGTAATGTTGATGTAATTATATCCTTGGAAAGTATCCACAAGACACACTTTTGTTTTTGTAGGAAATTGTGCAATTTAAGGCAGAGAATCTATAATTTTATTTTGATTTATAATTCTGTTATTTCTATTCTAAAATCTACAATTTCACTTTATAAAAAAAAAAACACATTGAAAATTCATCAAATTTTTGTACATCTCTTATAGTTTCTCTCTAGAATTATCTTTTTAATATATCGATGCAATTATCCTTGGAAAGTATCCAGATATTCGGCGCGTAACGAATACAAAGATTTCATGATGCATTATGTAATTCTTTTTTTCATATAATAAAAAAACAAATTTAACTGGCAAAGTTATAGAGGAGAAACTCTTAAACGAAACCATTCTTAAACGAAAGAAATGTAATATGTCGGACGTGAACGTGCAATGTGAAAAAAGAGAAAATTGTTTTCCGAGCGATGCATTCTCAGACAGTTTTTAAATACACGTTTCGCGTGCACCACAACAATGACATGATGACACATCGCACAGTGGGTATCTCATTGCGCATGTACTCTCTTTGCGTCTTTTTCAATTTAAGATAACGAGAGATATAAACCAGACCACCCTCATAGCGCATTCTCAGTTAAATCGCGGTATCATTTGCGTTGCCGATAAAATTAAAATGTCAAGAGGAAAGAAATGATCTATTTAAACTAATGCTCTATTTGTTTTCAAGAAAGAAGAACATGTTTCTTTCAATATTCACCAAATTTTATCCGTTCTCCGGTACTTTTCAACAAGAGATATATAATGTAACACAGTGATCATTTCATTTTTAACATTAGCAAACAACAAGGATATAATGATTCACTGTAAAGATACTATAATCTAACCACAAGC